GAAGAAGAAGAAGAAGAAGAGATTGGACTTATACCCTGCCCTTCACTACCCAAAGGAGTCTCAGAGTGGCTTACAAACTCCTTTCCCTTCCCCTCCCCACAACAGACACCCTGTGAGGTAAAAGAAGAAGAAGAAGAGATTGTATTTATACCCCGCCCTTCACTACCCAAAGGAGTCTCAGAGTGGCTTACAAACTCCTTTCCCTTCCCCTCCCCACCACAGACACCCTGTGAGGTAAAAGAAGAAGAAGAGATTGGATTTATACCCCGCCCTTCGCTACCCAAAGGAGTCTCAGAGCGGCTTTCAAACTCCTTTCCCTTCCCCTCCCCACAACAGGCACCCTGTGAGCTAAAAGAAGAAGAAGACGAGATTGGATTTATACCCCGCCCTTCACTACCCAAGGGAGTCTCAGAGTGGCTTCCAAACTCCTCTCCCTTCCCCTCCCCACAACAGACACCCTGTGAGGCAGGTGGGGCTGAGAGAGCTCTTGACAGAAACTGCTCTTTTTCAAGAACAGCTCTTATCAGAGCTACGGCTTGCCAGAGGTCATCCAGCAGGTGCACGTGGAGGATTGGGGAATCAAACCTGGTTCTCCCAGATTAGAGTCTTAACCACTTAACCACTACATCAAACTGGCTCTCTTTGAAATGGGGTCAGAGCCACCATGTCTTTGAAATGGGGTCCAAGCCATCCCATTGTGGAAACCGCAGGAGATGCTATGCGAAAGTACAACATGGAAAAGAAAAAAAAACAGACCACAAAACAGGACTGTTTGCATTAATGTATCTGTTGGCATGTATCCATCCTTAGAAGTCTGATCTCACATCGCTACTGCTAACAATAGCCAAATTGACAATAGCTGCGCTGTGGAAGTCTCCGGATCCTCCTACACTGTCTTTGTGGCATGACAAGCTGTGGGAACAGTTTGTCATGGCGAAAACCAACAATTTAAATCAGGGGGTCCATGCCTCTAACGCCACATGGCATAGGAAATTTGGAAGGTTCTGGTCACCGGTAGTGGACTATATGACGAATCACGAGGTACTACCCACAAACCACGTATATCACAGGTGGTTGTTCTTATAAGGTACATGATATCAGCGGTTTCTGAATAAGAGGCGTAAGCCCATACACGCTGTTCGATATGTAACAGTGCTCATAGGTGGAAATGGAGAGAGCAGCCTCTAGTTTAAATGAGTTTAACGTAGCTATATTTGATCACCATGAATTAGACTAAGGACCCGTACTGGCTCACAGTTGATGGACTTTTCTAGTGGGCATTGTTTACGCATTTTTGTATGATATAAAGTATAACGCATGTAATGCTTGAACCTTCGTTTCCTCCTTTTGTGTTTATGTGTACTTTTAAGTAAAAGAATAAAAATAAATTTTAAAAAAAGAAGTCTGATGGAATGTTTGTAAACAGAAACTTTTGTTGATTGTCAAAAGGTGAAGGAGTTACACTAAGCTTTAAGAATACGAAGATATAGTTATTCTATCAGAGTTGTATTTTCTTGTTTACCATTTCAACCCGTGATCTCTCTTACTTTTAACCCACGTGGAGATTGGCATTCTGTGAAGGGAGTGACGTTGGTGGGGTATAATGCCAGAGAGAGTCCACCCTCCAAAGCAGCCATTTGCTCCAGCCATTTGCTCTGCAGTCTGAGACGCGGTTGGCAACTCTGGGTCAGAGAATTCCTGGAGGTTTGGGGGTGGGGTTTGGGGAAGGGACCCCAGTGGGATACAGTGGCACAGGACCCACCCTCCATAGCAGCCATTTTCTCTAAGATCCAGAGGAGTTAGCCGTGTTCGTCTGTTGCTGCAAAATAGTAAAAAACCCAGCAGCACCTAACACACTTTATTGTAGAACAAATTTAGAGTCCTGTGGCACCTTTAAGACCAACAAACGTTTATTCAAAATATGGGCTTTCCTGTGCAAGGCATACTTTTTCAAATACACTGGAATGGTAGATGAGGTTCGAACTTATAGACAGATCACTTATAACCTTGCACACGAAAGCTCATACCTTTAATAAACCTTTGCTGGTCTTAAAAAGTGCCAGTAGACTAAATGAATAGCAATTGAAAACATTAATTTGGGGTTAAGGGGGGGAGGGTAAGAAAAACAAACGATGTGTGAATTGTATAATGATATATTTTTTGGAACGTAGAATTACATTTGTGGGAACATTCCAAAGTGAATTATAAAGATAAGACAATATATTAGAAATCAATCCAATTTGGGTATATTGTAAGTTATCTGTGATAAATTAGTTTAAATGTTATTCCTTCCTTTGTTATGATGTTTTGTATAAACTTGTATTATGGGGATTGAAAGCAAAATAAATTATTGAAAAAGGGGGGGAAAGTGCCATTGGACTCTAAATTTGCTCTGCTGCTTCAGACCAGCACGGCTGACCACCTGGATCAAACTTTACTTTAGCATAAGCTTTGGAGAAACACAGCTCTCCTCTGACAAACTTTATTGTGTAGCATAAGCTTTCGGGAAACACAGCTCTCTTCTCCCCCCCCCATTTTTTTTTAATTTGGATTAACATGTTCAACATTTGACACACAACCAACAAATCCATTTCTTTTTATCTCCTACCCCCCCCCTTTTGATGGCTTCCCACAATGCTTCCCCCAGCCCACATATATTCAGGTTTCAAGGTAACATTTTGCTTACATTTTCAACATTCCTACATTTCGACCCTAATAATTATCTAAATACAGTATAGTGTTTTTAACATCCCAATTCTTCTCTAGATATTCTTTAAAATCTTTCCATTCTTCAAAGAAGTCTTTATCTTCTTTATTATTCAATTTCTTTGTTAGTTTGTCCATTTCTGCCATATATAGAACTTTCTGTATCCATTCCCATTTATCTGGTATTCTCTCTTGTTTCCAGCATTGTGCATATGTCATTCTTGCCGTGGTAATTAAATACCATAGCAGTGTCTTTTTTATTACATTTACTTCTTCCATTTTTAGTCCTAGAAGTAGTATCTCCGGTTCTTTCTTAAACTTGCATTTTAAATTTTTTTGCATTTCTTCATGTATTTCTGTCCAAAAAGTCACAGCTTTATCACATGTCCACCACATGTGGTAAAAGGAACCTTCCTTTTTCTTACATTTCCAACATTTGCTAGACAAATTTTCATTCATATATGCTATTTTCTTTGGCGTCACAGCTCTCTTCTGACAAACTTTGGCCCTGGTCACACGGGCAGGAAAATGCGTGGGGAAGCGTGGCTGTTTGCCCCGGAGCAAAATAACACACGGCTGCGCGATCAGACATCCCGTCAAGGTCCCGTGGTTAGGGGGGAGGTGCCGATCACAGGACAATCCTGCGGCGTGGCAAAGAAGCGGCCTCTCTAGCAAAAGGCTCCGGGCCGAGCCAGGAGTGGGAGGGGTACGGAAAAGAGGAGGGGGCTGTGTTGTTTTTAAACGAAGTGTGCGCATGCACCGTTGGGTGCTTGTGCGCATCCTGTGGAGACTTGGAAAAAAAAAACCTATTAGCGACGGGACATGGGCAGGCGCCGGATGCCACGACCTACCACCAGAAACGCGATCAGGCGCCCGCCCTTGCCCCGCGGTTTCCGGAAACTAGTACCTCGGAGGTACTAGTTTTTTTACCCCGCATCTTCGGGTGAGCCACGGGAGCTCTATGCTTCCCAGATGTGGCGCTGTGATCGCGGCTGGAAAATTTGCCTATCTTCCGTCTCTGTAGCGTGGCTAATGCTCCGTGTGACCGCAGCCTTTATTGTGTAGCACAAGCTTTCGAGAAACACAGCTCTCTCTTCGCAGAAGAGAGCTGTCTTTCTCAAAAGCTTGTACCACAGTAAAGTTTGTTAAGTCTTAAAAGGTGCTACTGGGCTTTTTTTTTACTGTTTTCTCTAAGGAAACTGATCTCTGTAGTCTGGAGATGAGCTGTAATTCTGGGCCATCTCCAGAGCCCAACCCCACTACCTCCCCTGCTGAGTTGGGCCCTCTGCTTCGGACTCTGGACCGGCCAAGGCCTGGTTTCTGGCGTTAATCCCTGCAAAGCATGTACGACCTCCGCTTGCCTCCAGCCCTCTCCCTCCCCAAGGCCAAAGCACGCGTTCTGCGCCTCAGGACTGTGCTTTTTTTATTGCTTTACGGCCCCCCCAGCCTGCAATCCAGCTGAAGGAGAACAATGAACAAATGCTTCAAGACGTGCCAGCCCGAAGGCCGCGGCTATCGATTACAGGGGGGGGGGGGAGAAAAAAACCACCCCAGCCGCAGCTGCTTTAGCTCATCACCCGCGGAGCCCATTCATCGCTCCGGAGCCGACTGACCCCGATTTCTTCCCCCAGGGGCTTTCCTTGCCGGCCCGCCAATCACAGCACACCCTTTGTGCCACGTGACGCGGTTTCCCCCGCTATTTAAAGTCTGCTGGGGGCGCCTTTGCTGAGTCATAAGTGGGCTGTGATTGGATTTGCCAGCTGGGCTTTTGCAACGCGACTGCAGCATGGACAGAGTGAGTTGGGGGATCAGTTCTACGCTGCCGGAGAGCAGTGGGGACTGGATTTCTGCGCTAGGGGGGCGAAGCTGGGCGAGCCAGAAGTAGGTTAATGTGTCACTTGCTCGTTTGTTTTCTGGTGAAGTACAGGTGCTTGGATAACTTGTGAACTGTCTTTTCCCAGCCATTTCTGCTTGCTTCATGCTCACTTTTTTGGGTGTTCGAGGTGGTGGAAAAGGCTGGCGAGTTGGAGCCGACTTATGGTGACCCTGTAGGGTTTTTCACGGTGAGAGATGCCCAGAGGTGGTTTACCATTGCCTGCCACTGTGTAGTAACCCTTGGATTCCTTGGTGCTCTCCAATGCACCCTCTACGCTGTGGAGTCTTGTGAGCAAAAATTCTACTTTGTGGGCTACTGGCATTAAAGTTGTGAGCCAGCGATTTAGCTACTGCATCAATTAGTTTGCTCAGGGGCCATCCTTCCTGAGCTAAGACAAAAATGCATAAGCCAGAGGCTAAAAAAACTGAGCTAGCTCACACTGACTCAGCTTAGAGAGAACACTGGTGCTTTCCCATCCATACACAAGCCAGGGCTGACCCTGCTAACTTTCTGAGGTTGTCTAGCCTGGTGTTTCCTGGTCAGGGCAATTAATTACGGATTTGTAGTGCTGTCTATGCACGTGGTGGTTTATAGCACATGGACTTTAAATTGAGGAAGACTCCCTGTCCCAGTGGAGTTCTATTTTGTTTAATTTAAGCCTTTGTTAGCCGCCTTTCTACCTTGTGGAGCTCAAGGGGGCTTACAATGGGAAGAAAGCAACGATTTTAAAAGCACACAGAACTCCAACTTGGGGATGGAACATTCCTGGAGGTTTGTGGATGGAGGGTGTGATTGGGGGAAGAGAGGGGCCTTAGCGGGGTGTAATGCTATAGAATCTGCCCTACAAAGCTGCTGTTTTTCTCGGGGGGGGGGGATCTGCTCCCTGTAGCACGGAGATATGTTGTAGTTCCAGGAACTCTTCAGGGCTGACCTGGAGGATGGCGACTACACCATAGAGTTTCCAGACACAGACTTCTTGCAGAGTCTAGTGGGTGATGAAAGCTGCCCAGAGAACCATCCAGCAAGGCACCAAACGGACAAAAGAGTATGTGAAGTATGCTCATATCTTAGTGGAGAGAAGGACTTTATAGAACGAGTGTCCTATTTGGGGGAAATATTTGAAATATGCGTGTTATCTGGTTGGTTTTGGTGGTGTTGAACAGGGCTGACTTCTTACTGTGTAGGTCCCCTGACCTGGATAGCCTAGGCTAGTCAGATCTTGGAAGCGAAGCGGGGTTGGCCTTGGCTAGTGTTTGGAAGGTTGACTTCCAAGGAATACCTGGGTCGTGACTCAGAGGCAGGCAATGGCGAACCACTTCTCAAGCACCCCTTGCCTTAAAAACAAGTCTAGCTCACCACCTAGTGGTGCATAATGCAAAAAAGAGCTAGAACTTTGGGCTGCCAGACATCTTAGGATCTCCTATACGCAATGCCTGATGGCGATGATGATAACAATAACTGTTTAGCTAGAGGAGAGGCTGCAAGGCAATGTGATGGAAACCAAGTCTGTGAGTGTGGGCAACTTCTCCTTACCCCCCCCCCTTTTGAGGACTCCAGGTTCTCTAGTTCTAAAGGGCAAAAATCGTGATTCTTCTTGGATGGAAGTTAAGGCACAGCCCTTGACCAATGCGCCCTCTAAGCTGTGAAGTCTTGTGAGCAAAAATTCTACTTTGTGAACTCCTGGCATTAAAGCTGTGAGCAAGCGACTTGTCAACTGCATACATTAGTTTACTCTGGAGCCATCCTTCCTGAGTTAAGTCAAAAATGTGTGAGCTGGAGGCTAAAAAACTGTGAGCTAGCTCACACTAACTCCGCTTAGAGGGAACACTGCCCTCGGCCCTAAAAATTAAGCGATTTCTTGGGGCAACCTTTTCTTGTTCGGGTGCTGCTTAGACCAAGCTATTAAAGAAGAAGAGATTGGATTTATACCCCGCCCCTCCCTACCTGAAGGAGTCCCAGAGCAGCTTACTATCTCCTTTCCCCTTCCCGCAGCAGACACCCTGTGCGGTAGGTGGGGCTGAGGGAGCCCTTTTGAGAACAGCTCTTAGAGAACTTGTGACTAACCCAAGGTCACCCAGCAGCAGCTGCAAGTGGAGGAGTGGGGAATTGAACCCAGTTCTCCCAGATTAGAGTCCGTGCTCGCAGCCACTACACCTGGCTGGCTCTCGTAGGACTGATAGGCTGGGCTGTGGAAGAAGGAGTTGTTGAGAATGTGGAGCTAGAAAAAGCCGCTTGGGACGACGTGTGGCTCAGAAGTGGGTGATGCCCTTAATCCACCTTGAGCACCGCGCTGCTTGTAGCTGTCCAGGATGATTCTGGGGACTGTTGCAACATCCTTGAGCCTGTTTTTTTGGGATGTGCAGCTGTCCAAAAGTGGGACTGGTTGGGGGAAACCAGTAGTGTACAGAGCTTAGCTGCAATCAGGGGTCATTTCCTGCAGGAGTGCACAGGAGCGGAGCTCCGGCAGTAAAGAGCCCAGGGGGCGGGTACATGCAACCTACTCCCAGCAGCCCTCAGTCAGAGCAAGAAGCAGCCAGGTAAGTTGCAGAGCCCCCCCCCAGCTCTCCAGTCCAAAACAGTCCAGTGGCACTTTTAAGACCAAGTTTTGTTCAGGTACAAGCTCTCCCTCCTCTGTGAGGACAGATCTGCACATCCCCCCCCCCCAATAGCTAGCAATCCAAAACAGTCCAGTGGAGCCTGAGCGGTGGGTGTTGCCTTCTGACACACTTCCGGTGATGTCAGAGGGTGTGGCATATGCAAATGAGTTATGCTAATGAGCTCCTGCACCTCTTTTTCTACGAAATGACCCCTGGCTGTGATGGTGAGAACCGCCTTCGCATACCTAAAGATAGCAGCTGGGCTCGATCTTTCTATGGGTGGGGAGGAGCTGGGGTTGCCAGCCTCCAGGTGGTTCCTGTAGATCTCAGTATCCAGACTCTAGAGATCAGTTCCCCTGGAGAAAACGGATTCCTTGGAAAGCGGGATCCATGGCATTGTACCCCGCTGAGCTCCCTCCTCTTCATAGGCTTCGCCCTCAGTTCTCCAGGACTTTCACAGCTCTGCGTTGGCAACCCTGGAAGGAGTCCTGATTTAACAGCAAGGTTGCCTGAAGGAGGACTGCAGCTTGTCTCATGTTTGACGGGGGCTGCTTGTCCAGAAGCAAAGGGGTGTCAGCTATGCTGCCGTGGGGGTTGGGGAGGTCATTCTGTGTCTTGTTAATGGCTATTGCATTCCTTTCCCTGCTGTTCTCCCTTGGCTGTAACGCTTATCTGTACCGATGTGCAGGAGGACGTTGTATTGTCTGGAAGTCTCCCAGGTACCGTGAGAGACTCCTGGTTCCCAGCTTTAGCCACCTAACGGTTTCCTAAGTCAGCCCGCGCGCGGGAGGGTACCTTATTGGCCCATGCCATGGGGGTGTGTGTGTGCAGACGAATACCCTATATCCTATCTGGTTCTATTGAGTGCCGCCATTCCTAACAGCGCCTGTGTTACTGCATCTATAGCTTTGCAATAAAAGTATAACCGTTCCTGAATGCGCGTACTTCGTTGTTAGCTGTGGGTTCTGACAGGTGGCTTCTGGAGGGAGAGAAACCAGCACACAAGTGTTGTACCTCTGCTGTGCCGCCCTTGGTGGAGTGGCCAGGCCTCTCGACATCTAGAGTTTTAGGGGGGAGGGACATTTTCTGGCATGGAGATAAGTGATGGGGAAAGCGTCTCCGGTTGCAGTTCTGCGCCAGGCGGCTCTTGAAAGTACAGTTGGTCAAAGATAGCGGTGCCTCTCCCCCTTCCCCTTGCGGAGACACGGAACTCTCTTTGCACTTTTAGGTGGCTTGTAGGCATAGTGTGAGATCAGATCTCCATTCCCGCTTGTGACTGTTGAAGAGACCTATGACTCTCGAAGGCTTATACCCTCCGACGTCTTGTTGGTCTCTAAGGCGCGACTGGACTCGAATCTGCAGGTGAAATGAATCCTGGGAAGGTGCAAAAGAGCCCAGGGCTAATAAATGAAATGAATCTTGGGAAGGTAAAAAGGGTACAGGGTGAGTAAATGCAGGTGCAGTGGATGCTGGGGAGGGGGAAAGGTTAGAGAACCAGTTTGGTGTAGTGGTTAGGAGCGCAAACTCTAATCTGGGAGAACTGGGTTTGATTTCCTGCTCCTCTATGTGCAGCTGCTAGTGTGACTTTGGGTCAGTTACAAGTTCTTTTGGAGCTGTTCTCTCAAGAACAGTCCTCGAAAGAGCTCTCTCAGCCCCGCCTACCTCACAGGGTGTCTGTTGTGGGGCGGGGAAGGGAAAGGATCATAAGCCACTCTGAGATGCCGAGTGGAGGCGGAGTATAAATCCAATCTCTTCTTCCTTTCAGTCACCAAGGCTAGTGGGGACCACAGTTCCCCCAAAAAAATTTTCAAGTAACTATGAATCATTTAGTACAGTGCAAGTTTATTGCCTGTATAAAAAAGCCCTTTGTAGAACCCTGTGTAGAGAGTTTGGTGGAGTGGTTAAGAATGGCAGGCTCCAGTTTTGATTCCGTGTTCTTCCACATGAAGCCAGCTTGGTGATCTTGAGTCAGGCGCAGTTCTCTCGGAGCTGTTCCCTCAGGGCTCTCTCAGCACCACCTACCTCACCGGGTGTCTGTTGTGGGAAGGGCAAGAAGATTGTAAGCCACTCTGAGACTCCGAGTGAAGGTCAGGGTATAAATCCAGTCTTTTCTTCTTAGTAAATGCAGGTGCAGTGAATGCTGGGAAAGGGAAAAGGTACCTAGTAAATGCCGGTGCAATGCTTGCTGGGAAGGGGAAAAGGTACATGGTTAGTAAATGCCGGTGCATTGACTGTTGGGAAGGCAAAAAGGGATACGGGGTCATAAACTATTGCTCTGGGTCTGCAAAAGAGGCTGCTGGGGGTGCCTGTTGCCCCCCTGCCGTGTTGAAATGCCTGCCCAGAACTGCACTGATTATCCCTGGCTTCTTGTGAAGCTAACCTGGCTGTCATCCCTGGCTTCTTGTGAAGCTAACCTGGCTGTCACTGTACCTGTTGAGCTCTTTTAAACCAGCGACGAAGGCCAGTGGTGAAGCTGCCTCTCTGGGGGCGTGGTGGGCTTCTTTGGCTGTGTGGAAAAGCCTCTGACTTTTTAAAAACAGTGACCGCTGTTCCGCTGTGAAGAAAGGGCAGAGGCAGGAAAGCAGCTTTGGTTCTGGAGCCTTTGGAAACCTGCCAGGCTCTGTATATTTCCAAGCCCCTGGGAGAGCGACTGCAAAGGCAGCAAGGGGGGAGAGAGAGGTGTTCGCTTTCTCCCCAAAATGTCTCCTGACCTAACGTGTGCCCGGCTTCCTTTCTCCAGGGACTGACTGCAACTCAGCTCAAACTCCAGTCCGGAGAAAGCTTCCAAGTGAAGGGGAAGGTCTTGCCAGATGCCAAAGGGTAAGTTGAGAAGGGGAGGAGAATTCTCCCTGGGCAGGGGAAGCTGGTTGGCTTCTCTGTGTGGAGGAGCGGCAGGTGGCAGGCGGGATTCAGGGCTCTTTTTGTAGAAAAAGCCCAGCAGGAACTCATTAGCATAATAGGCCACACCCAGCAGCAGAAACTCATTAGCATATTAGGCCACACCCCTGAGCACAACTTATTGGCATATTAGGCCACACCCCCATGTTACCAGAAGTGTGGTCATCCAGCCACACCCACCTTTTGCTTCTTATTCTGTTTACCCAGGGCTTTTTTGTAGCAGGAACTCCTTTGCATGTTAGGCCACACACCCCTAATGTAGCCAATCCTAATGAGTTTCTGCTGTTGGGTGTGGCCTATTATGGTAATGAATTACTGCTGGGTGTGGCCAATTTTGGAGCCAGCCAGAACTCCGTTCCTGTGCATTCCTGCCCAAAAATAGCCCTGCTCCTCCTCATTATCTCCACTAGCTCTGCCTTCCTGAGTGGCTAGTGCCTGAGACAGGTGAGACGTGTTAATTTAGAAGAAGAGAAGAGATTGGATTTATAACCCCGCCCTTCACTCGGAGTCTCAGAGCGGCTCACAAGCTCCTTCCTTTCCTCTTCCCCACAGCAGACACCCTGTGAGGTGGGTGGGGCTGAGAGAGCTCTGTCAAGGACTGCTCGAGAGAAGAGCTCTAGAAGAACTTGTGACCGACCCAAGGTCACACCAGCAGCTGCCGGTGGAGACGTGGGGAATCAAACCCCATTCTCCCAGATTACAGTCCGCGTTCCTAACCACTACACCAAACTGCATCTCATGTGTCTCTACAGTAGACAAGTGGCTTGTTTCTTTGTGCCCATTAGGGTCCCAAAACAGTTTATGTCTTTCCTCACAATAACCCTGTGAGGTTAGGTCAGGCTGAGAGTGTGACTCGCCCAGGGTCACCCAGCCAGCTTCAAACCTGGCTCTCCCAAATCCTAGCCCGACACTTTAACCGCTCACCATGCTGGCTTTTGCCATAATTATATGGGTTCCATCTTTTCAGGCCTGTTTCACACCAGTGCTTTTTGCCCCTCTCAAACTTGAAAAGTGGCTGGGAGACTCTAGGATAGATCTCCCCAACAGTAAACAGCAGTTGGGGGGGAACAACGTCTGTGGCTTCTTTTGTGGGGTGAACACCTGGGCGAAGGGGCTGTTGGAAGCCATACTCCTCTAAGCTGTGGGGGTCTTGTGAACAAAACGTCTACTTTGTGAGCTCCTGGCATTAAAAGTTGTGAGTGAACCTTTTGGCTACTGCATAAATCAGTTTTCTCTGGAGCCCTCCTTCCTGAGCTAAGACCAACATGTGTGAGCTGGAGGCTAAAAAACTGGAGTGAGCTCACACTAACTCAGCTTAGAGGGAACATTGGTTGGAAGGTGGGAGGAGGTAGAGCCCCCCCCTTTCCCACTGCCTCCGTCTTAAAGGGGGTGCCATGGCTGCTACTGAGCAAGAACGAGGAACAAGTGAAGCCCTTTTGGAGCGAGGGTCTCACCTAGTTTATATAGGGGGGTTGCATTGATTCCCTGCGTGCAGCAGCTCTGTGTATTCATTAGAGTTGCCAGGTCCAGTTTGGGAAATACCTGGATATTTGGGGGGGGGGTTTGGGGAGGGGGGACTATAATGGGGCATGATGCCATAGAGTCCTCCTTCCAAAGTGGCTATTTTCTTGGGGGAGTTGATTTCTGTCACCTGGAGATCAGTTGTAATGCTAGGAGATAAAAAGGTTGGAACACTTGCCCTATGAAGAAAGCTTAAAGCGCTTGGGGCTCTTTAGCTTGGAGAAACGACAGCTGAGGGGTGACATGATTGAGGTTCATAAGATCATGCATGGGATCGAGCAGGTCGAGAAAGAAGTACTTTTCTCCCTTTCTCACAATACAAGAACTCGTGGGCACTCCGTGAAATTGTTGAGCGGTCGGGTTAGAACGGATAAAAGGAAGTACTTCTTCACCCAAAGAGTGATTGACACATGGAATTCGCTGCCACAGGAGGTGATGGTGGCTACAAGCATGGACGGCTTCAAGATTAGATAAGCATATGGAGCAGAGGTCCATCAGTGGCTATTAGCCACAAGGTATAGATAGGAGCTCTCAGTCTGGGGCAAGTGATGCTCTGTCTTCTTGGTGCTTGGGGGGGGGGGCAAGAGTGGGAAGGCTTCTAGTGTCCTGGCCCCACTGCTGGACCTCCTGAGGGCACCTGGTATTTTTGGCCACTGTGAGACACAGAGTGTTGGACTGGATGGGCCAGTGGCCTGATCCAACATGGGCTTCTCTTATGTTCTTATGAGATATCCAGCCACTGCCTGGAGGTTGGCAACCCTAAATCATAATGTGTATGCCCATAATGCCAGGGACCAGCATACCTGCAGGACTGTCTCTCCCCGTATATGCCCTGAAGAGCCTTGCACTCTTCAGATCAACACCACTTAATAGACCCTGGCCTGAGAGACAGCCGTCTTGCATTTTCAGCCTTTGCCCCAGCCTAGTGGAAGAGGCTCCTGGTTGAGATCAGGGCCCTGTGGATCTGCTGCACGGAAAGCAACCAGATTCTTCAAGTGCAGAAAGTTAACAGAAATGCTTTTGGCTGTAGTACTGGGGGGGCCTGCATGGTCGCTGCTGTTGAAATTCTGTGCCTCTCTTGTGGTTTCCTTCCCAGTTTCACGGTGAACGTTGGGAAAGACAGCGAGAACCTGGTGCTCCACTTCAACCCACGCTTCGACTTGCACGGGGACGTGGACACCATCGTGCTCAACTCCAGGCACGACGGGGCGTGGGGGGAGGAGCAGCGGGAGAGCCACTTCCCCTTCCAGCCCGGCGAGAAAGCAGAGGTGAGGGCGGGGCGAGGAATCCAGCCAGATGTTTCCTCAGCTTCTCTGGGGCTCTTCAGCGCACTGTGGAAGGAGGGATTTTGAAAAGGAAGCCATCTTGGCTTGAGTTATACGTGGGCACCATATTCAGACATAACGAACGGGGTGGGTGGAAACAGTTCGGTTGCCCTTCATGCTTAGTTCATGTTTGGGGGAAATTATCCTTTAAAGACGAAGAAAGAAGGAGAAGAGACTGGATTTATACCCCGCCCTTCACTCTCAGAGCAGCTTACAATCTCCTTTCCCTTCCCCTCCCCACAACAGACATCCTGTGAGGTAGGTGGGGCTGAGAGAGAGCTCTCGAGAACTGCTTATGAGAGAGCAGCTCTGAAAGAACTTGTAACTCACCCAAGGTCACACCAGCAGCTGCGCGTGGAGGAGTGGGGAATCAAACCCAGTTCTCCCAGATTAGAGTCCACGCACTGAACCACTACACCAAAGTGGTTGTTGTGTTCATAAACAGTTAGGGTTGCCAATTCCAGATTGGGAAATTCCTGGAGGTTTTGGGGGCGGAGCCTGGGGAAGCTGGGCTTTGGGGCTGGGATGGAGCTCAGTGGGGTGCAAGGCATATCGCCCCCCCCCTCTAGTCTGGAGGCCAGTTACAATTCCAGATCACCAGAGGGAATTTTGCAAGATCGTTTCACTTGCTTTTAGTGGTACAGTCAACCCTGCCTCCTCTTTCTGCGTATTCTAGACCAGACCAGACCTTTAACCTAGTCAGCTGGTTAAAGTAACACGTAGCTTGTGTGAGCTTTAAATATCAAAGTGTTTTGTAGCCAGCTGCCCCTGGTTTGAGTATCTCTGAGCAAAGAACTAAAGATCCAACAGTCCTGCCAAAGCAACTCTGATAGTAACTATTCAATGTTTCAGGAAGCTCTCTTTTAAACTGCACAGCCAGTCAGAAGATCTGCTGGGCAAAAGCTCCACCTGGTCCCGCCTACTTTCTCAAGGTGCTTGGTGGGCACCGGAGAAGGTGTTGGTGGGTGCCCGTGGGCGTCACGTTGGGGACCCCTGGTTTAAGCCGTAGTACATAGTACAGACCAAACTTTGCATTCCAGGCTGGTCAAACTTTGCATTCCAGGCTGGTCATCACCCTGCTATTGTGTTTGCAGGTCACCATCGTCTTCGATGCGTCTGAGGTGAAAGTGAAACTGGCCGACGGTCACGAGATCTCCTTCCCCAACCGGCTGGGCCTGGAGACGATACACTTCCTCTCTGTGGAAGGCGATTTCAAAATCAAAGCGCTCAAATTCTAACTGGTGTTCCTGCAGCCTTGTTTCTGTGTCGAATAAATTCAGGTGTTTTCTTCAAAACAGCCCGTCTTTCTGTCACCCGCTGCTCTTCTCAGATGGCTAGAGCACCAGTCTGCCAGTATGGTGCCAGCAGACACCTTTCCTGGTGCCTGGCAAACATACTTAGAAAGACCGCAGGGCTGGTGGTGGTGGTGGGGGTCTTTTGCCCAGCAAGGCTTCTGATTGGCCCACTGGTGGAGATTTGTTTGGCTGTGCACATTTTTAAAAACACTCCTTTGGTAGCAGCTGCCACCATGGCACAAGGACCTTCGCTGTGTGACTGAAGGTAAACTGTGGCAGCCATTTTGTGTCTGGCTCTACCTCCTGTGGCAGCCATTTTGTGCCTCCAGGCTCAAGAAGATTGGGGACCCCTGGGCTAGAAGGAAGAAATGCTGTCCTTCTGAAAACAGAAGCACATTGACCCTCAAGCTCTCGTCTTGCTTAGTTACCCTTCCTAAGTTTTCAGAGCCCTGATGTTTGATACCAGCGGAGTCCGCTGTCCTTGTCTCGGTCTGAGGCTACTCAGTGGGGCTGCAAAGGCGACGTCACCACATGGTGAGCTTTGTCCAAAACTGGCTCACTGGCAAGGCCTTTTAAGAGCAGAGAAGAGAAGAAGAAGAAGAGATTGAATTTATACCCCGCCCTTCACTTGGAGTCTCAGAGTGGCTTACAAACTCCTTTCCCTTCCCCTCCCCACCACAGACACCCTGTGAGGTGGGTAGGGCTGAGAGAGCTCTGACACAAACTGCTCTTTTTCAAGGACAGCTGTGCCAGAGCTTGTGACTGACCCAAGGTCACATCAGCAGGTGCAAGTGGAGGAGTGGGGAATCAAACCCGGTTCTCCCAGATTAGAGTCCGCACACTTAACCACTACACCAAACTGGCAGAAGGCATTCAGTACTACTGGCGGGTGCCTGCTAAAAGGGCACAGGTGCCTTCAGGCAGCCCACCTGTTACAGGAAACCAATGTTGAATGCTTGCAGTCACAGAGCTTGCGTGCGCCAGTGAACACTGAGGGCGCAACACTGGCCCCAGGCTGTAGCGACTGGGGAACAGGCTGGTCCCTGCTACGCTGTGGCATGCGTCCCGCTGTAAAGAAGAGCTCTCTGTCTGGGCTCTGAGTGTCTGTCTTATTGACTGGAGTGAATGCTGTGCCAGACCAGCGAATAGGCAAGGTGCTTCTCAACAGGGTTTTGTTCTGTGGTCTAGTCCGGCTGCTCTAGTGTACAACTGGCAGCTTGCATCTGTGTGTACAAATGATGAAGGGGGGGGGGCAGAGAAGGCAGCTCTCCTGCCAGCTGACTTGAGATCCCAGCTGGTCTGTTAGTTCAACTTTTGCTTGCAGTTGTGGTTTTGCAAACTCTGGACAAAGGGGTCTATTTATCGCGGGGGAAACAGCTGGGGTCCTTTTCTCTCTCCGCCTCCCTGTCCAGGAATTGGAGACTGCCTTTACAAGTTGGTATGGGAAAGGGGGTGAGTCTCCTCGAATGATCTGCGGTTTTTTTGTAGCAGTAGCTGTGCTGCCAAGATGTTTGGCTTCTGGGAAAAGCTACTTTGCCAAGTGATCTGGGAGTTCCTCTCGGGGGGTGGGAAGTGCCCATCAAGTTGCAGCAAACTTAAGGACCCTTTAGGGTTTTCAGGGCCAGCAGCAACAAGAGAGACAAGAGAGAATTAATAGAAATTCAAAGATTTTTTAAAAAAACCCGGCGGTGGGGCGATGTAGGCAGCCAGAGTGGGGAAAATGGCACCAATCTGGGCAGAGCCTGGGAAATCAGTTGTCTGCCTGGGTGCCAATCCCAGCTTTGCTGCCATCTTTTCCAAAATGCTGCAGTGAAGTAGGTTTGGGGAAGAGGGGGACCCCGGGCTGTGCACGGAAGTGCCGTGATGCTGTGGGCAAACAGGAAATGCCTATTTCCCAGCAGCATCCAAGATGGAGCAAATGACCTGAGTATGTGCCCTGCTCAATGCAGGATCAGCCCCAGAGCATCCCTGACCAGTGTTTGTACAGCTGGTGCTTAAAGGCTGCCAGGGAGGGGGAGCTCACCACCTCCCCAGGCAGCTGACTCCACTGTGGCACAACTCTTGACTGTAAAAAAAGCTTCTCCTAAAAACTAGCCGATACCTTCCGGCCCTTAATTTAAACCCATGATTGTTCTCTCCTCTGCTGCCAAGAGGAACAGCTCCCTGCCCTCCTCTAAGGAAAAGCCCTTCAAAGAGAGCCATCCTGTCCCCCCCTCAACCTCCTCTTCTCTGGACTGAACATTTCCAGCTCCCTCCGCCTTTCCTCACAGGGCTTGGTCTCCAGGCCCCCGATCATCCTTGTCGCTCTCCTCCTGCACCCGCTCCATTCTGCCCACATCCTTTTTGAAGGGAGGCCTCCAGAACTGCACACGGTACTCCCGGTGCGGCCGGACCAATGCAGTGTATGCAGACTATGACATTTTGTGATTTGGATGCCATGCCTCTGTTGATAACACCCCAAGATCGCATTAGCCTTTTTTGTTGCTACATCACACTGGCTGCTCATATTTAACTTTTGGTCCACCTGTACCCCAAGATCTTGTCCACACAGACAGTGCTACCCAGAAGTGTATCCCCCATCCGGTATGCATGGTCCTCGTTCTTGTTACCTGGATGTAGAACTTGGCACTTACCCTTGTTAAATCACAACCAAAAATATAAGCTTTTGAGAGTCCAAACTCCCTTACACGTTCAGATCTGCCCACTTTTCCAGTGTGTTCACATCACCTTGAATTCTATCTCTGTCTTCTGGTGTGTTCACTGCTCTTCCCAATTCGGTATCTTCTGCGAATTTAATGAGTAGCCCCTCCACACCCTCATCCAGATCACTGATGGAAATTTTGAAAAGTACCGGGCCCAGAACCAAGCCCTGTGGAAATTTTGAAAAGTACCAGGCCCAGAACCAAGCCCTGTGGCACCCCACTGGACACCTCCCTCCATTCAGAAGAAATGCCATTGAGAACTACTCTCGGAGTGCGGTTCTCCAACCAGGGTCAGCATTGTCCGCTCAGACTGGCGGCAGCAGCAGCTCTCAAGGGCCTTTCCCATCACCTACTACCCGATTCTTTTTGCTGGAAATTCCAGGGATTGAACCTGGGACCTTTTGCATGCCAAGTAGATGCTCTACCACTGAGCCAAAGCTCCTCCTAACCTTATTAGCAGGAAGTTCACTGATAGGACATCCAGTCTTTCTTAGGAGCTCTAGTGTTGGCCTTAGACCTGCAAACCCAGGTCCTGTCCTGCTTGTACGCTGGATTAATTTAATGGCCTGGTTCGTCACACTACCATACCTTAGGCTTGCTTCGTGCTTGTGAAATAAGGATGGGCTGCCCTTGTAAGCTCATTGCGAGAGCTAACACAGCCTCTTGCAAATTTAGTGAAGTGCTGCCTATATCAGAAGGGAACTATGCTTAGTGTGACCTTGAGAAGGCCTCGGGTGTGGGCGAGATTAGCGAATTAGGCACACCTGTCCTAGTCTTCAGCCTATATCCCAGACTCTGTAAATATCTGGATATTGATCAGTAACTCTGATCAACAAGACATAGCTCTAAGTCTGATGACCTTTGAACATCCGTAGTGCCTGTGGAGGTAGCTTGTTAATCATTGTTCCAATGTAATCCTTAAAACAAATCCCCCGGAAAGTGATTGTTCTCCTCTGGTTTTCTGAATGTGAACTCTCAACCCCAGCTATGTGAACTCTGAACCCCACCGCACGGATGGTGGGGAGGGGGGAAGCAGAATGGGGATAAAATAAACTGCTGCTGCCCTGAGAGGCAGACTGATTTTCTACCCTCGAGAAGAGCTGTCTCTGTGATTCCTTCACTCGGGGAAGACACATCCCGGTTGGCAAGTAGGGCACCCGCCATACAGGACCCTGACAGCAAACCAACTGTTAAGGTAGCCAGGCCTACAAATCCAAGCTGGTTCATCTGTGGAAGGCTAGAGGACAACGCACAAGGAGTAACTAGACATTGTTCAAAAGATGGAGGAACTTCATGTTCAGAGGCAGGAAACTTCTGAGTGCCAGCAGCAGGAGGCAGCAGCAGGGAAAGGCCTTGGCCTGTGTGCCCCTGTGTTGGTCCTCCTGAGGAACTGGTTGGCCACTGTGTGAGACAAGATGCTGGACTAGATGGCCACTGGTCTGATCTAGCAGGGCTCTTCTGATGTTCTTATGAAGACTTTGGCCCCTATGCCCTGTTGCTGGATGTCCAGAGGAACTGGTTGGCCACTGTGTGAGACAGGATGCTGGACTACTTTTTAGATTTTTCTGCACACCTGGAGACTGCTCAAAGTGTGCAGGAAAATCTCCCTGTCCCTGATGTGCGGATTTAGATATCCGCATGGAGGGGGCAACTTGGCTATTAGATATATAGCTATGGAGCAGAAGTCCATCAGTGACTATTAGACACAAGGTATAGATAGGAACTCTCAGTCTGGGGCAAGTGATGCTCTATATTCTTGGTGCTGGGGAGGGGGCAACAGTGGGAAGGCTTCTAATGTCCTGGCCCTTCTGCTGATCCAACATTGGCATCTCTTATGTTCTTAACAGCTCTGAGAGAACTTGTGACTGACCCAAGGTCACACCAGCAACTGCATGTGGAGGAGTGGGGAATCAAACCCGGTTCTCCCAGATTAGAGTCCCCACTCTTAACCGTGAAAGAAAAACAGTCACAACCAATATTCTTAAAATTTATTTTTTTTTGTAGCAATTCAACCTTGGGCAGAACTACCCCCTTATGCAGGAAGATCCGGGGTCCTCCTCTTGTTTTCTCCATTCACTAAGGTGTTGGTGGGTTGCAAAGGTGAACGGAGAGAAAGCACAACCCATTCGCTATCTGGTTGCCCACCATTCCCGACAAATCTGCCCCCATTACCATTTTTAATCCCCCCAGTCTAAGAAACCCATGCTGGGGAAGGGGAACAGTCAGGAGGACATCCCATTTGCAGGGAAGAAATGGCAAAATAGAGAAAGGATTAAGCACCTGCACACCTCTTCTTGTACCTGTGTCATCTGGCGGGCTCATATTTAAGAAATGCTGCTGTAGCTATATTTGAGTCCATTAGGACTTTAGTGCCCAACCAGATTTTGGGGGTATAAGCTTTTGAGAGTCAAGACTCCCTTTGTATCTGATGAAGGGGGGAGGAAAAGAAGTGGAGAGGAGAAGAAAAGGAAGGAGAAGAAAAATGAAGGAGGAGAAGAGCTATACTCCAACCTTCACTCAGAGTGGCTTACAATCTCCATCCCTTCCTCTCTCCACAACAGACACCCTGTATGAGGTAGGTGGGGCTGAGAGAGCTCTGTGAAAACTCTGACTGGCCCAAGGTCACCCAGCAGGCTGCACGTGGAGGAGTGGGGAATCAAACCCATTTCTCCAGATTAGAGTCCACTGTTCTTAACCGCTACATCAAACTGGCTCTCTTTGACTCTTGAAAGCTCACGCCCTAAAAATCTTGTGGGGCTCTAAAGTGCTCCTGGACTCGAACCCAGCTCTTCTGCCACAGACCAACTTGGCTACCCTCTGAAACCGCTGGCATGATAGGAGGACTTCAGACAGCCTATCTTTTCCATTTCAGGAACTGGTTACTAATTTCAGACAGACCCGTTTTAGTAACTGGTTCCTAATGGAATATAGTTACCTGTTCATACAATGCCGGTTGTCTCCCGTTTGGGAAGCGTGTCTGAGGCGTTGTTGACGGAAACGGCTTTCCTCAGGTCTTCAATCCCTTCGTCCGGATCTGAATCGCTACAGTGGGCTGTGTAAAATGCCCCGTAGCGCTTCCTCCAGTGACGGGTTTTTCACGCCCCCCCCCGCGTGCAATCTCTCCTCTTTTTAAAAAAATGTTCTGTTGGGAGTGCTATAACGCTATAACAGGATGTCAAATCAGTGTTATAGCGCTTCCAATAAAATGTTTTTTTAAAAACCTCTCAGGGAGATGGTGCACGTGGGGGAAAATGGCGGGAAAAGAAAGTGTCACAGTTTGAAATGGCCACAGCACTTCAGAAATGGCTCCTTACCAGAAGGGAAATGCTGTGTGAAACAGCCGTCCCTGTACCGGTTTCCTCCATGACAGGCCAATAACGGAAACCATGCGGTTTTAAAAGGTAATGTGAAATCCCTTGTATATTCATACCTCAGAAGCCTTGAAAAACAGCTTCGTCCCCTGCTCAGTCCTGCCCAATCACCCAACCCCAAGAGGAAGTATGAAACAGTGAACTTATCTTATGCTTATTAAGAAGCCTCTACAGGCCATGCAGAGGTGGAATTCTGTTTATCTCAGAGCTGGTGGGGTGCAGAATGCCGGACTAGGGCTTGGGTTCGAATCTCCCCCCCCAACCACAAAGCTCACCGGGTGACCCAAGCGGGCCCGTCCCCCTCACACACACTCAACCTAACCTACATCGCAGGGTTGTTTTGAGAACAAAAAAAAAAAGGAGGGGGAGAACCTCCTCTACTGCCTTGAATGTCTTGGAAGGAGGGTGTGATACAGAAAAAAGAAGTACAGACCTCTACAAAGGACAAAGGAACACTGAACATGGGGGTAGTTGACTCTATTTGCTCCGTTCTGTCTAAGATCAATTCCCATGGGATTAGGAGAACAAAGATCCACTGTGGTTTAGAAAAACAGAAACAAAAATAGGCTAATGGGTACAAAACCTTTTGCGGTGGTGGGGAGAGCAATCTATAAATAAAGACATTCAGAGAACCATCTCGAGAAGTCATTCCAATATTTCCCAGGCCGCATGCGGTTCCATGCTTTCTGTTTTTTGTTTTTTTTAAAAGAAATGTTTTTTAGTTGTCCACGAGTCCAAAAGAGACAAGGGTTGGGGGGAATCTCTTTGCTTCGGCTTCACGTCGACTCCTGAGTTGTTTGGTTCGTGCAAGTGCTTGTTCGGGCAGGTGGTCGCCTCGTGCCGCGGATTCGGAAGACGGTATCTCACTGTGCAAAGCTTTCTCGGAAAGGGCACTTACTGGTACATTCAGTGGGTACTAAAAGAGATAAAGGCCCCCAGCCCTGTGACTGCCCGGTGTTCAAAAGTTGGGGCACTGTGTGCACGGGTCGTTGCTCGCCGACCGCACTGGATCCTGCCGTGCAGAAAAGGGGGGGGGGCTTTGCCCTCTTGTGCACATAGGTCAGCACTGGATGCCGCTAACCATGGGGGACAGCTAGCACCTTGCAAAGATGGGGGAGGAGACGTCTAAAATTGTATGTGCATGGCTGTGCACATGTGAATACAATCCTTAGCGCCGTGACCAGGGATTTTCTACCAGGGAAAAAACCCAGTGCTGGTATACTTCCCCATCTGTTTCTTGCTGAAGATGCAACTCTGTATCCATATATGGACCGAGGAGCCCTAAGTACTGGCTGCATTCACAGAGAGGTTGCGTGTGAGCACCCTGAATCGGGGCCTGGAGCCCTTTCTGCTAGTCCTTTTTTATTAGGGCTCAAGACAGCTGCTCCAAGCTATGGTGTATATGACCCGCTTGAGGGGTCGGGGCGGGGAAACATTCCTCTTTTGTTTTTCTCTGTTAAGTACAAAAAATAAAATAAAATCAAACAATTTGTTTCCTACATACATATGGAGTAGACTCAAATAACCGGTTAATGTTATTGTACAAAAAAAAAACCTTTACAGAATTCTACCTTGCAGCTTTTAAAAAAATATATAAATACCGATATTGTTCAGGAGAGCAGGTCTCTCATTAACATTTTAATTAAGGCTTCATTATTGTAGATCCTTCATTATTTTGACAACCGTTGGTGCTCAGAGGGAAACCCCCCCCCCCCCCCCCCCCTCCTCTAGCGGAAGCAGCTGGTGTTTGTTTCCAATGAGTTCGCCTGCCAGGATAATGGGCCGCCTCCTTCCCACCTCTGTTAGCCGCAATGATTCGGTTCCTTTCCCCACGAGTATCTTGCGAGGGGCCTGCGATCACAGGCGGAAGAAAAAAAAGAAAAGCTTTCCATGCTGTTTGTTTTTCATACGTTAATTAAAAAAAAAATTAAACCTGCCGTCAATTCGAAAAAGGTTAAAAGCTGTCTCTGATTAAATAAATTTGAGAAGAAGAGTTCGACGGAGACCCGTCTGGGTAAGGTCAGAGTGAAGATGCTGGTGGCTGAGGTCTGTTGCTGCTCTGGTAGGTACCCGCGGGTGCCGGGTTCTCCGTTGCTTTTTTGCTCCGAAGGGCGTAGTCCACGGGCAAGCTCTCCAAAAGGCACTTGAGCTGTTCCTGCCCCAGTTTGATCTTGTCGTCGAGCTCCCGCTGTTCTATGAGCAGCGCGGACTTCATCTTCACAAAATGCTGGTAATCTTGAAGCTGAGGTAAGTGCACAAAATGTCCAAGACCACCCGCTCCCGCCGGTCAAGGTTCTCCTTCAGCTCACGGGCATCCTCGTGCTGGCCAGCCAGCATCTTCCGCTTCTCGTTCAGAGAGCTCTGCCCCAGGGTGGGAGGAGAGAGAGAGGACAGATAAGAGATTTGGCATTACAGTTAAGAAAATAAGAGAAGCCAGTGTTGGATCGGGCCAGTGGCCCATCCAGTCCAACACTCTGTCACACGGTGGCCAAAAATACCAGGTGCCATCAGAAGGTCCACCAGTGGGGCCAGGACATTAGAAGCCCTCCCACTGTTGCCCCCCCCCCAAGCACCAAGACTATAGAGCATCGCTTGCCCCAGAGACCCTGTCTATACCTCGTGGCTAATAGCCACCGATGGACCTCTGCTCCATATGCTAATTCCCTCTTGAAGCCGTCCATGCTTGTAGCTGCCGCCACCACCTCCTGTGGCAGTGAATGGGTTCCGATCGTCACTGCCTCTGAGGTGGATTCGCCCCAGCATTGCTTCCAATCACACTGAATAATCCACTTTCGATGCACTTCAGTTTAAACTGAAGATTGGAATAAGAAATTTCTAGTCTTCGGAGATTTTTGGGGCATAACACATCACGGTGCTTTGCTTCTTCTCAACAACCCACCCGGAGGTTGGCGAGCCCAAACTGTGGAGCTTCCCATATGAAACTGGGAGCGCTCAAGAGGTCTAGACGGGGCAACTCAGGGCTATTTTTGGGCAGGAACGCACAGGAACGGAGTTCCGGCTGGCTTCAGAGTTGGCCACGCCCACTATAGCCAAAACCTCTGTGTTCGTGGCTACAGAGGGAAGGCCTGGAGAGCGACGCCCCCCCGGCAACTCCAAGGCAGGCGGGCCAGGGGGCCCCCTGGAAGGATCGGGGAGGCCTCCCCCGGCCTGTCCAAGGGCCGGCTTGCCCGGGCTCCCCGCAGCCACAGGGCGCCCAGGCAAGCCAAGGGAACGCATGGGGTGTGGCCTAATAAGCTAATGAGCTGTGCTGTCAGGGTGTGGCCTGTTATGCTAATATGTTCCTGCTGGGCTTTTTCTACAAAAAGAGCCCTGGGGCAACTTATCAAAATTGCTTTCTGAAGCTAAACCTACACGGAGTCCCAGTTGTAAAACGGGAACGATTAAAACAAATCTAACTGCATCGCCTTTAGTGGCAGCATTTACACTTCCAGATATCTAATGAAACAAAGTTTGAGTTCAGGGGCACCCTAAAGGCCAACAGTGATCTATTCTGTGTGTAAGCTTTTGTGTGCACGTGCACCTCTTCAGGTAGATAAAACATCTGGGGCAGAGGTCCATCAGTGGCTATTAGCCACCAGCAATGCTCCCTCTAAGCTGTGGGGTCCTGTGAGCAAAAATTCTACTTTGTGAACTGCCGGCATTAAAGTTGTGAGCGACCGATTGGGCTGCTTCGTGAATTAGTTTGCTCTGGAGCCCTCCCTTCCTGAGCTGAGACAGAAATGTGTGAGCTGGAGGCTAAAAAACTGCAAACTAGCTCACACTAACTCAGCTTAGAGGGAACACTGGCCACAAGGTATAGAGAAGAACACTGTGTCTGGGGCAGTGATGCTCTGTCTTCTTGGGGCTTAGGGGAGGGGGCACAGTGGGAGGGCTTCTGCAGTTCTGACCCCACTGGTGGACCTCCTGATGGCACCTGGGTTTTGGCCACGCTGTGACACAGAAGAAGAGTTGGGTTTATACTCCACCCTTCACTCGGAGTCTCAGAGCGGCTTACAATCTCCTTCCCTTCCTCTCCCCACAACAGGCACCCTGTGACTGCAGTGTTCCCTCTAAGCTGAGTCAGTGTGAGCTAGCTCACAGCTTTTTAGCCTCCGGCTCACACATTTCTGTCTTAGCTCAGGAAGGATGTGGCTCCATAGCAAACTAATTTTTGCAGCAGCCCAATCGCTGGCTCACCACTTTAATGCCAGGAGCTCACAAAGTAGAATTTTTGTGCATGAGACTCCACCATCTTAGAGGGAGCATTGCCTGTGAGGTAGGTGGGGCTGGGAGAGCTCTGAGAGAACTGCTCTTGAGAGAACAGCTCTGAGAGAACTTGTGACTGACCAAAGGTCACCGAGCAGCTGCCTATAAAGGAGTGGGGAATCAAACCCGGTTCTTCCAGATTAGAGTCCGCCGCTCTTAACCACGACACCGCAGTGTTGGGTTGGATGGGCCACTGGCCTGCTCCAACACGGCTTCTCTTATGTCCTTATAGCTTACACCCAGAATGAAACTTCCTTGGTCTGAAAGGTGCCCCTGGACTCAAACTGGGCTCTGTTGCTTCAGGACCAACACGGATGCCCCACCTGAAGGTATCTAATAGACACACTCCATCTACTATCACAAGCACTACTATACCCCCCCCCCCCCCGATCCTTTCCCTGCCCCCCGAGAA